CCCTCTTTTTCTCTCTCTGTGGAACCTTAATATCGTGAATTTTAGATGCCTTGTTAGAGCCCCCATGACTCTATTTGTTTCAGTTTGTCTTTGTTTTTTAGATTTTTTTGACAACTTTTGGTTTTCTGTCTTCAAAATCACTTTTTTTTTTCACTGTTTACTCCATTCTGTTGTTGTTCCCATCCATTAAGTTTTAGTTTTAGTTAGGGTACTTTTCAGTTCTGGTATTTCACTTTGGTTTTTCTGTATGTCTTGTGTTTCTATGCTGAGTCTTTTTTTTTTTTTTTTTTTTGACAGGCAGAGTTAGAGAGAGAAAGGTCTTCTTTCCATTGGTTCACCCCCCAAATGGCCACTATGGCTGACGTGCTGCACTGATCCAAAGCCAGGAGCCAGGTGCTTCTCCTGGTCTCCCATGCAGCTGCAGGGCCCATGCACTTGGGCCATCTTCCACTGCCTTCCCGGGCCACAGCAGAGAGCTGGACTGGAAGAGGAGCAACTGGGACTAGAACCCGGGGTGCCGGTGCCACAGGTGGAAGATTAGCCTAGTGAGCCATGGTGCTGAGACTTCTACACTTCTTTGTTTTAAGATTGTTCGTTATTGCTTGTAAAACCATTACTATGTACTTGCTTTAAAATCCTAGTCAGATTATTCAAGTATCTCTCTCTTCTCCTTGTTGACTTCTTTTGATGATCTTATTCAAATTGATATACTATTGTTTTTATTTATTTGTTTGTTTTTGAGAGGTGGAGAGAGAGACAGAGAGCTCCCCAAATACCTGCAATGGCTGGGGTGGGCCACAGCCAAGGCTGAGAGCCATGAAATCAATCCAGGTCTCCCACATTAGTGATAATAACACAATTAGTTGAGGCATAAAATATTCTGTATTTTTTCTTTGACTTAAAATTTTCTGATGGCCACTTCCTCTTTTGGAGAGTCTGGTTCATGTCCTGCTATTGCATGCTTCTGTTCCAGCTTCCAGCTGATGTACCTGTAAAGGGAGTGGCTGATGGTCCAAATAGTTGGGTTCCTACCACCCATGTGGGATCCTGGCACCTGGCTTCGGTCTGGTCCAGCCCCACTATTGCAGCATTTGGCTAGTGAACTAGTACATGAAATATCTCGCACTTTCTCTGTCTTTCCCTCTGCCTCTGTCACTCTTTCAAATAGATAAATAAGTCTTTTTTAAAAACCTTAGATTTGTTTTTCTTGAATAAAGTATAAATCATAATATTCTCATTACTTCCAAAATTCATGGTGTTTGGGTTTACGATAATTGTGTATGTTAATTTAAGCTTGAAAACTGGAGTTTTGATGAGAGTGATACAAGTCTAGTTCACTTGCACATGTTTACTAAAAAGGCATCTAGTCGGCCGGCACTGCGGCTCACTTGGCTAATCCTCCGCCTGTGGCGCTAGCTCCCCGGGTTCTAGTCCTGGTTGGGACGCCGGATTCTGTCCTGGTTGCTCCTCTTCCTGTCCAGCTCTCTGCTGTGGCCTGGGAGTGCAGTGGAGGATGGCCCAAGTCCTTGGGCCTTGCACCTATGGGAGACCAGGAGGAGGAAGCACTTGGCTCCTGGCTTCGGATCAGCACAACGCATTGGCCATAGCAGCCATTAGGGGAGTGAACCAATGGAAGGAAGACTTTTCTCTCTGTCTCTCTCTCACTGTCTAACTCTGCCTGTCAAAAAACCTGAAAAATAAAAATAAAAAATATGGCCTTGTTTCTCAAACTCAGAAATCTACTGGTCAACAATGTTTTTTTTTTTGTTTTTTTGTTTGTTTGTTTTTTTAATTTATTTAACAGGTAGAGCTATAGAAAGTGAGAGAGACAGAGAGAAAGGTTTCCTTCTGCTGGTTCACTCCCCAAATGGCCGCCGCTGCTGCGCCGATCTGAAGCCAGGAGCCAGGTGCTTCTTCCAGGTCTCCCATGTTGGTGCAGGGCCCAAGGACTTGGTCCATCTTCCACTGCCCTTTCGGGCCACAGCAGAGAGCTGGACTGGAAGAGGAGCAACCGGGACTAGAACCCGGCACCCATATGGGATGCTGGCACCACAGACCGAGGATTAACCAAGCAAGCCATGGCGCTGGCCCCCAACAATGATTTAATAACTCCTGAGTGTGAGTGCATCATCAATAATGATTTAGACTTTTCTCCTTTTTTTAAAAAACAAGATTTATGGCCGGCACCTTGGCTCGCTAGGCTAATCCTCCACCTGTGGTGCCGGCATACCAGGTTCTAGTCCCGGCTGGGGTGCTGGATTCTGTCCCGATTGCCCCTCTTCCAGTCCGGCTCTCTGCTGTGGCCTAGGAGTGCAGTGGAGGGTGGCCCAAGTCCTTGGGCCCTGCACCCGCATGGAAGACCAGGAGAGGCACCTGGCTCCTGGCTTCTGATCAGTGCGGAGTGCCGGCCACAGTGGCCACTGGGGAGTGAACCAATGGAAAAGGAAGACCTTTCTCTCTCTCTCTCTCTCTCTCACTGTCCACTCTGCCTGTCAAAAATAATAAATAAATATTTAAAAAACACAAGATTTATTTATTTATTTAAAAGGCAGAGCTACAGAGAGGCAGAGTTAGAGAGCGGGGAGGAGAGAGGGAGAGAGAGAGAGGGAGGGAGGGAAGGAGGGAGGTCTTCCATCCTATGGTTCACTGCCCAAATGGCCGGAGCTGAGCCGATCTGAAGCCAGGAGCCCAGAGCTTCTTCCAGATCTCCCACTTAGGTGCAGGAGCCCAAGTTCTTGGGCCATCTTCTGCTTTCCCAGGTCATAGCAGAGAGCTAGATTGGAAGTGGAACAGTCAGGACTCGAACCAGTGTCCATATGGGATGCCAGCACTGCAGGCGGCAGCTTTACCTGCTATGCCACAGTGCTGGCCCCACAGATATTTCTCCTTTTAATAAGCGTTTACCATTTTAGTAGTTTTATGTCTCCATGAACAAATAGATAGTACATAGTCATAGACACACAAACATACACTTACCCATACATGTATGTGCATGCAATTAATATTCTAATGCTTTTATTTCCAGAAGAATTCCTTGGGAAAAGATTTTAATTTCAATAGATTTTTTAAACTACTTTTGTAGAAGGCTATAAAAAAATAATTCACATTTGAACCCCCAGTTTAGAAATAGCCCTTTCCCTACCAACAGTACATTTAATAGGTTTTTAAATATCTGCACACATTATAGGTATAATATATTTTTGTTTGTATTTCCAAATATGCATTTCTTTAATTTGTAGAGATTATGACCATCGTTTCCCATGTGGATTTGTTCATTTGTGGAATTCCTTTTTTTTTTTTTTTTTTTTTTTTTAAGATTTATGTGCAATGCAGAGAGAGAGAGCTAGAGAGATTGATCTTCCATCTGCTGGTTTGTTCCTCCAATGGCCAGAACATCCAGTTTTGGGCCAGGCCAAAGCCAGGAATCTTGTTTGTTTGTTTGATTTGTTTTTTTTATAGGAAGCTTTTTATTTAATAAATATAAACTTCATAAGTACAACTTTTGGATTATAATGGTGGTTCTTCCTCCCATACCCGCCCTCCCACCCCCAAAGCATCCCTCCTCCTACTCCCTCTCCCATCCCATTCTTCATTTAGATTCATTTTTAATTATCTTTATATACAGAAGATCAACTCTATACTAAGTAAAGATTTCAACAGTTTGCACCCACACAGACACACGAAATATAAAGTACTGTTTGAAGACTAGTTTTACCATTAATTCTTATAGTAAATAAATTAAGAACAGAGGTCCTACATGGGGAGCAAGTGCACAGCAACTCCTGTTTGTTTGTTTGTTTTTTTTAAGATTTATGTATTTATTTATTTGAAAGTCAGAGTTACACTGAGAGAGAAGAAGAGAGAGAGAGAGAGAGAGGTCTTCCATCCACTGGTTCACTCCCCGGATGGCTGCAACAACCGGAGCTGCGCCAATCCAAAGTAGGGGGCCAGGAGCTTCTTCCAGGTCTCCCACATGGGTGCAGGGGCCCAAGCGCCTGGGCTATCTTCCACTACCTTCCCAGGCCATAGCAGAGAGCTGGATCGGAAGTAGAGCAGTCAGGACTCAAACTGGTACCAATATGGGATGCATCAAAAAGAGTTTCGCCAGCACTGCGGCTCACTAGGCTAATCCTCCACCTTGCGGCACCGGCACACCGGGTTCTAGTCCCCGTCGGGGCGCTGGATTCTGTCCCAGTTGCCCCTCTTCCAGGCCAGCTCTCTGCTGTGGCCCGGGAGTGCAGTGGAGGATGACCCAAGTCCTTGGGCACCTGCACCCTATGGGGACCAGGATAAGTACCTGGCTCCTGCCATCAGATCAGCGTGGTGCGCCGGCCGCAGCGGCCATTGGAGGGTGAACCAACAGCAAAGGAAGACCTTTCTCTCTGTCCACTCTGCCTGTCTTAAAAGTTTCATTATTGTGTGAACATCATAGAATGTACTTAAACAAACTAAGCTATAATGTCTAGGTGATATAATCTATGTGATCATGTCCTTTAATGCATTGTTATCTGTAACATATGCAGTACGTGATTATTGGTAAGTATTCTTGATGCTGCCAGAATAAATTTTGCCCTTGTAAAATACTAAAAAGATAAATTTGTAGCATCTATTGAGAGCCAGTTTGTTTTTACAGGTGGAAAAGTAAAAATTTGTTCTGTTAAATTACTTGCCCAATATTATGTTACTATTACATGACAAAGATAGGGCTAAAACACGAAAGTTCCTTTCATGTGCCAAAATAAAATGCTTGATGAAAAGTAGTTTGAAAACCAGAAGTGTTACAAATTGATATGTTGATTATTTCATGAATATATTAGCAACATATTTAAAAATATGTAATTGTACAATAAAACTTAAAACTATCTTTTGTAACAATTCTGTTTTGATAAAAAAAACTCATGTTCTTTCAAAATGCAATCTATGAATTAAATATTAGAATATTAGAAATTCTTTTTACTCTTAACAAATCTCAATACTTGGTTCTCTTAAACATTTTTTAGAACAGAAGAAAGTTAAAGTTAAAAAGCCAAAACCTGAATTTCCTGTATACACACCTTTAGAAAGTACATATATTCAATCTTATGATCATGGAACTTCTATAGAAGAAATTGAGGAACAAATGGATGATTGGCTGGAAAGCAGGAACAGAACACAGAAAAAACAGGTAAATAATTTTAAATACTTGTTTGAATTAAAGCATGTACAGAAAATACATAAAATATAATTGTGAAGCTCAGTGAGTCATCATGAAGGGAACCAAGGTAACCGTCACTAAGACCATGAACTAGAATTTTGCCCATGTCCTGAAGCCTCCTTAGGTGGTATTTTACATTTTTTGATGATATTGTAAATAGTGTTGTTTGTTAAATTTCACTAATTATATTTAGCATATAAAAATACAATGAGATCTGGGGGTGGGGAGGGCAAAGTGTGAAAATGCTGCTTTGGAGACCTGAATCCCATATCATAATACCTGGGTTCAAGTCCCTGCTCCATTCTTGATAACCAATTCTAGTTTTCTGCTAGTGCACACCCTGGAAAGCAGCAGGTAATGGCACAATTACTTCAGTCTCTGCCACTCATATGGGAGACCTGATTGAGTTCTCATTCCTGGCTCAGCTCTTAAAGTTATGTGGAGAGTGAACCAGAGAAAGATCTTTCTTTGTCTTTGTCTCTGTACCTTTCTAATGAAATGGGAATAAATAAACAAATACATTTTTAAAAGAAATACAATTGAATATTGTATGGTAACCTTGTATTTAGCAGCCTTTCTTAATTTATTTTTTAATTCTAGTAGTTTTGCTGTATATCATATATTTGTTGCCTTGAAGATTTATTTACTTATTTATTTGTAAGGCAGAGTTACAGAGAGAGATCTTCCATCTGCTGGTTCACTCTCTAAATAGCTGCACAGCCAGGCAGTGCAAGACCAAACTCAGGAGACTGGAGTTCCATCCAGATATCCCATCAGTGGCAAGGGCCCAAGCATTTGGGCCATCTTTTGCTGGTTTCTCAGGCACGTTAGCCGGGAGCTGGATTGGCAGTGGAGCAGCTGACACTTGAACTGGCACTCTTAGGGGATGCTAGCTAGCATCACAAAGTGGCTGCTTAGCCCACTGTGCCACAATGCCAACTCCTAAAATAGGATGGTTTAAATATATTTTCTAGAAAATTATTTATCTTCCCTCAAGCATAAGGTTTCTGTTTCTTTTTTATATAGTCCATACATTCTTGAGTCTTTGCAATTATTTGTTGTTGAAAACGGGATATTTTGAATAATATAAATTAGCAACTCTAGAAATCAGATTCTGTTCTTCGGGATTTGTTGTGATATTGGGCTTATTGTACCTACTTGTTTTTTAGTGCCTTTTCTGACCTAATTCTATAAAGTCTGTGTTTTTTTGTCTTGTGTGGCCACTGATGTCGCCATTATATTAACTTAGTGATCAACTAATGATTTTTACAGATTTTCTTAAATGCTTGGAACCAATCTTCCAATCTTTGCCATGGGCTTTTTGTGTGTATTTCTTTGTAACTCTGCCTGAACCTTCACTTCCTTCTTCCAGGAGCCTTAAAATAGCTGCAGCAGTTGAGTTCTTTTCTTTCTTGACCGTGTGCACGTGTGCCTGAAGCCCTGAGTATGCACTTGGCCTTCTAGATTCCCAGGAATGGCAGAACATTTATTCCTCAGGTGTCCTCAGAAACCTTTTCATTAGTCTGTTTGCCCCAGCTGTTTTCTGTCTCCTCAGGCAGTTGTGAATAAGAAATTATCCTGTAAGTGTTTGCAACAAATAGCCCAAGGGAAGCAGCTTTAGCATAAGGCCTGTCCTTTGTCTGAATCCATGTTCCAGGTAGCCTCCAAACAGATCAGATCAAGTATTCACCATTCTTTGCACATTAGTTCATTCTGTTCCCTCCAGTACCATGAATAAATATTGTTATTTTCACAGATGGTACTGAAATAGGGAACAGAGGCCAAGACTGGGCTAAGTAGAGATGCCACAAAGATTGCTATTCTTATCAATAATCAGCTGTTTTTCCTGAATTGTATCTTACCCCTGGAACTGAAACCTTTGCTTTCCAGGGTTCAGTAAAGGTTCATTATTCTAATAGTTATTTTACCTTTTTTTTTTTAATTTGAGACACAGAGAGCTCCCATCCTCTGGTTCGCTCCCCAAATACTCAGAATGGCTAGGACTGGGCCAAACCAAAGCTGAAATCCAATAATCCCATCCAGTTCTCCAACTACTTGAGCCATCACTGCTGCCTCCCATGGTCCACATTAACAGGAAACTGGAATCAGGAGGCAGAGTCAGGAATTAAGCCCTTGTACTCCAATGTGAGACATGTGAGGGTCCTAACCACTAGGCCAGACACCAACCCTCTTACCTGTTTTGTTTTGTTCTTTGCTTTTATGGAAGAGTGGAATTGTTAGTTCCTTATGCTACTGGTTTCAAAGGCATTTTATATTTTTCAAAAATCAAGTTAAGGAAGTTCTCTTTCTAGCTTTGCTAAGAATTTATTACAAATGAATTGTCAAGTGTTATGCCTTTCTCCATCTGTTAAGATTTTATATCATTTTTCATCTCTATTTTGTTAATGAAATGGATTATATTGATTGGCTTTCCAAAATCAGTGTTGCTTTCCTTTGATGAACCTTGTTGGATCCCATGAAATATTATCCTTTAGTACATTTTTTTATTTGCTTTGGTTTGCAAATATTTTGTTTATGATTTTTCTTGTGTATTTATGAGCAAGATTGGCCTTTGATTTTGTTTTCTTATAATATCTTTGTCAGTATAAAGGTGAAGGATGTTTTCCCTCACCCTCTGAAGGTTTGGGCATGCTAAAGTAAACTAGCACTAGATTAACAGGGGAAGATTCACAAGCTTATTACTTGCATGGGGTAATCACCAGAGAATGATTACCCGTAACCTGTTGAGGTTCAGAGGCTTTATACTCTTTTCAGGGGAGAGAGGCAGACGGGGAGGGAAAATTGGTGACTTTGAGAGGTAGTAAATGATTTTTAGGGTATTTAAATGAGTCCAAAGAACAGACAATAGCTTATTACAAGTTTGTCTAGATCTGGTAACATCAGTGACTTTCCTTCATGAAATATGTATTTTATCTTCCCTGTTTAATGAAATTTTCAGAAAGGGAATGAAAATAATTGTGTTCCTTCCAGAAGAGCTTCAGATGAGGGAACTTCAGGGGTGAGTTCTTTCCTATGCTTTGGGAGAGAAGCAGGAGATCAGAAAGTCTTTGGTTCTGGGAATGCTTCTGAGACTTTTTGAGTTCTATTCAATTGTTTAGCATGTCAGACTGCCATATTTTAGCATGTTATTTCTAAGCTGCAGTCTCAGGAACTTTTGATGTTAATCATGTACTAAGCCTATAAACTATGAATTCTTTCTTCTTTCTTGAAGTTTTTTTTTTCTTGAGGTAGCATTTGGCACAGCAGTTGAGTACCTCTTGGAACACCTGCATCCAGTTTCAGAGTCCCTGGGTTTTAGTCCTGGCTCTGCTTCTAATCCAGCTTCCTGCTGGTATGTACCCTGGGAGACAGTGGTGATGGCTCAAGTATCTGGGTCCCTGCCAAACATGTGGGAGACCCAGATTGAGTTCTGGGCTCCTGGCTTCAACTCTAGCCCAACCAAGACTGTTGCAGGCATTTAGGGCGAAAACGAGCAGACTGAATCAGTGTCCGTCCCTCCCTCCCATCCTCCCATTCTCCTTTCCCCCCCCCCCCCTTTCAAATAAATAAATAAATAAATAGTTTTTACAGTTTTTATTTTATTTTTATTTGACAGGTAGAGATACAAACAGTGAGAGAGAGACAGACAGAGAGAGAAAGGTCTTCCTTCTGCTGGTTTACTCCCCAAATGGCCGCCACAGCCAGCGTTGCGCCAATCCGAAGCCAGGGCCAGGTGCTTCTTCCAGGTCTCCCATGTGGGTGCAGGAGCCCAAGCACTTGGGCCATCCTCCACTGCCCTCCCGGGCCACAGCAGAGAGCTGGACTGGAAGAGGAGCAACCGGGACTAGAACCTGGCGCCCATATGGGATGCCGGCGCCACAGGTGGAGCCAAGTGAGCCACGGCGCCGGCCCAATACAGTTTTTATTTTTAAATAATTGTAGATTAATAGGAAGTTGCAAAGACAGTATAGAGAGTTCCTACCTTCCATTCAGTTTTCCCTAACACTTTATGTAACTACAGGATAATGTCAGAACCAGGAAATTGATATCAATCCAATGGCTGTGTATTGTTGTACGTCATTTTATCATTTTACCTGTAAATTTGTTTGCCACAAATGCATTCAAGATACAAAAATCTCTCTTTACCACAAAGTTGTCACTCCTCTTTGTCTTTTGTAATCACACTCATCTCCTTCTCACCATCCTTTATTTTTATGATTTCAATATTTATTTATTTGGAAGAGTGTGAGACACACACAGAAAGAGAGAAGAGAGAGAGAAATCTTCCATCTTTCCGTCTTCTGATTTACTCCCCCAAGTGAATGCAACAGCCATATCCAGGAGCCAGGAAATCCATCAAGGTCTCCGACATGGGCGGCAGGGACGCATGTACCTTAGCTGTCTGCTATTGCTTCTCAGGTGCATCAGCAGGGAACTGGTTCAAGTGAGGTAGCCAGGACTCAATCCAGGCACTCCAGTATGGGATACATCGAAAGTGGAAATTTAGATGCTGTGCCACAATGTCCACCCCTGATTCTTAACCTGTGACAACCACTAATTTTTTCTGTGTCTCTACAATGTTTTGTCATTTGGAGAATAAAAGCGGAATTATTCAGTATGTGATCCCTTGAGGTTGTCTTCCTTTACTCATCATGTTGCCCTGAGATCCATTCAAATATTTGAGTGTATCAGTAACTTGTTTTACTTTATTGTTGAGTAATATTCCATGGTATGCCTGTACTATAGTTGATTTAATTATTATTCTATTTAAGAAGATTTTGATGGCTTCCAGATTTTACCTGCAAAGAACAAAATTACACCAGTCTAGTTTAAGGATTTTGATTGGCTTTGTATTTAATCTAAAATCAGGTAACATTTTATTCCATAAAATAGAATACATGTTTTCAATGGGTTGAGCAGAAGGGATTGGTTCTATAAGCATAAAAGGTCTGAATAAAGCAAAAAACAAAAACAAAATGTGAATTGGTAATTTTATTTTTACTTATTTTCATTTATTTGAAAGACAGTTCACATAGGTGGCAGGCATCTAAGTCCTTCAGCCAGCATCTGCTGCCTCCTAGAGTGTGCATTAGCAGGACACTGGATTGGAAGCAGAGTCAAGACTTAATTGTGGGATGCAGGCATCCCAACCAGTGTCTTAGCTATTAGACCAAACACCTGCCCCTGTTCATTTTAAAGTTACTTTCTGAGAAGGTAGGGATAGGAAGACAGAACGTTAAAACATGGTGCACTTCATTGTTACACCAATTGAAACTAGCTTGTTTGGGAAATTTATTCTCTCTCTCATCCTGATTTTTTTGGAAGATTAGGTAAACAATTTAGTTTCAATTGTGAATGACTCTATTTTGACTTTTAGTTTGGTTTGTTGGAGCCCAATGCAAAACTTTGTCCAAAATAATGGTCTCCTGTAACTTTTATTTAGCATGCCTGGTATAATCAAACTGCTATAAACAGTTTTTTGTTTGAACATAAGATTTCAAGTCTCTTACATGTATATTTAGAAGTGGAATTGATGGATGATATGGTAGTTGTATGTTTAACATTTGGAGGAACTGGCCAACTTTTTTTTCAAAGTATCTGCACCATTTTACATTTCTACCAACAGTATATGAAATGTTCAGTTTCTTTGCATTCTTAGCAGCATTTGGCATTGTCACTCTCTTTTATTCTACCTATTCTAATAGGTATGTGGCGATATTCTCCTCGTGTTTTAATTTCTATTTCTCTAATGACTGGTTATGGTGAATATCTTTTCATGGGCTTAAATATCTTCCTTGTTGAAATATTTCATAATTTGTTTTTCTTTTTTTTTCTAATTGAGTTGTTTATTATTTTTGCTATTGAATGTTGAGAATTCTTTATATATTCTAGATATGGGTCCTTTATCAGATTTTTGGCTTTTGTGCACAAATATATTTTCCCAGTTAGAAACTCTGCTTAACAGGGTCTTTGGCATAGTTGCGATAAAGTCCAGTTTCATACATTTTTTCCTGTATGGATTGTGGTTTTAGAGCATACCAAAGAACTTTCGACCATGCCACAGGTACCAAAGAGTTTCTCCTCTGTTTTCTTTTAAATGTTTTGTAATTCTTTATTTTATATTATGTATACAACCCAATTTGAGTTATGTTTGTAGAAGATGTGAGTTTTATGCCAATATTGGATGGGGGGGAACAGTTGCCTATAAATAATTCAATTATTTTAGCATCATTTATTTAAAACTGTCTTGTTTGTTCTTTAATTTTATTCTGTAGGAAAGTTACAGAAGATTGGAGTTATTTTTTCCATAAATATTTAGGAGCAGTCACTGCTAAAGCCATCTGGGCTTTCTTGGAGGGATGATTTTTAATTGAGATCTCTTTTCTTTTATTATATGATCATTCAGATTTTATATTTCTTTCTGTGTTCATTTGGATAAGTTGTGTTTTTACCAGGAATCTGAACTTGCTTAATTGTGAAACTGGCATAAAGTCATTAATCATATTATCTTATTTTAATTTAATTTTTATAGCTGTTGCTATCCAATAGAACTTTGTGCAGTTGTGCAAATATTCTGTATCTCTGCAGTCTTACATGGTATGTGGCTATTGAGCACTTGAAATTTGGCTAATGTGACTGAGAGATGGACTTGTGATATTATTGCCTTGTAAATAATTCAGATTTTTCTTTAAATAGCTTCATGTGACTAGTGGTAACATATTATGCAGCTCACATCTATAGAGGCTATAATGATGTCCTTTTCATTACTGATATTGAATATTTGTATTTTCTCATATTCTTTGTATCTTTTTTCTCCTTTTAATTGTTACTAGTCTTTTAAAATACAATCTTTTGCTTTTTTATCTGTATTTTGCTTTTTATGATTCCTGTTTTTATTTCCTCATTGTACTTTCTTTGAGTTGAATCTATAATTCTTAAGAATCTAACCTCTAAGCCGGCGCCGCGGCTCACTAGGCTAATCCTCCACCTTGCGGCGCCGGCACACCGGGTTCTAGTCCCGGTCGGGGCGCCGGATTCTGTCCCAGTTGCCCCTCTTCCAGGCCAGCTCTCTGCTGTGGCCAGGGAGTGCAGTGGAGGATGGCCTAAGTCCTTGGGCCCTGCAGCCAGCCGCATGGGAGACCAAGAGAAGCACCTGGCTCCTGGCTTTGGATCAGTGCGCTGTGCCGACCGCAGCGACCACTGGAGGGTGAACCAACGGTAAAGGAAGACCTTTCTCTCTGTCTCTCTCTCTCACTGTCCACTCTGCCTGTCAAAAAAAGAAGAAACAACTTTAGCTATAAAATCATAGTTTTGATATTTTATGTTCTCATTTACTGTTCAATTAAAATACTTCTAATGCTTGTTGTGATTGCTTCATTGATCCATACACTTTATGAATGTATTTCTTACATAAACATGAGAATGTTGTAATTATCATTTTAAAAATTAATTTCTAGTTTAATTATTTTGTGGTCAGAACAAGCTATCCTTTGAAATATATATGGACTTCCCTATGCCAACTATTCTAAATACCTTGCTAGTATTGAAATAATTGTGTAGCTCTAGGTTCAGTATTCTATATATGTCAGAATATTTATATCTTTTTGATGAATCAAACCTTTTACCAAACTAAATCTTTTCATGTATCTTTAGGAATGTTCATTTAGGAATGTTTAATTTTTCTCTAAATATATATATTCTACCTTTCTTTTGATTTATGTTTGCATGATATATATTTTTCCATATCCCAATATATTATATTTATAATATTGTTTTCTTATATATTAGATGTACTTCCTATTAATGTGCATTTAAAAATATAACCTAACAGTATTTGAAATTTATTTGAGTGTTTTTTCCATTGTTAATAAATAAGTAATTGTTGGTGTTTTGTAGTTTAAATCTGCCGTCTCAGTATTTTGTTGTTGGTTTTGGCCCTCCTTATCTATGTATTTTACTCCTTCATATCTTAACTACTTGAGGATTCATTAAGTGTAAATTTGAAATGTACCCATGCTTAGTTTATCCTTTCTAGTGCTAAGTAATATTCTGTTGTATGCATACACAATAGTTTTTTTTATCTACTCATCAGTTGATGAATACTTTTTTTAGTTTGGAGCTGTCATAAGTAAATCTGCTGTACACATTCATGTGCAAGTCTGTGTGGATATATTCTTTCATTTCTCTTGGGTAAATGCCCAGTAGTAGAATGAGTGGAACATGAGATAGGAAAGAAGCAGCAATTGGCCAGCACCGTGGCTCACTAGGCTAATCTTCCGCCTGCGGCGCCCGCATCTGGGTTTCTAGTCCCAGTCGGGTCGCTGGATTCTGTCCCGGTTGCTCCTCTTCCTGTCCAGCTCTCTGCTGTGGCCTGGGAGTGCAGTGGAGGATGGCCCAAGTGCTTGGGCCCTGCACCCGCATGGGAGACCAGGAGAAGCACCTGGCTCCTGCCTTCTGATCAGCGTAGTGCGCCGGCCGCAGCGGCCATTGGAGGGTGAACCAACGGCAAAGGAAGTCCTTTCTCTCTGTCTCTCTCTCTCACTGTCCACTCTGCCTGTCAAAAAAAAAGCAATCTGTTTTCCAGGGTAGTTGGTCTTTATGTTCCCACAGAGACATAGACTGTCTTTAAATTTCAGCCATTCTGGTGGATGTGTAGGATTTCACTATGAGTCTGACTTTCAGTTACCTCATGAGTGAATAATAATGCTGAGTATTTTGTCCTGTGCTCATTTGTTATTTGAATATCTTCTTTTATAAAGCATCTGTTCAGATCTATTGCCCAGTTTGTATCTAAGTTTTAAAGTTCTTTTTATATATAAAATACAATTCTTCTTATCACCTGTATGTTTTGCAATTCTAATTTTAACTGGAAATATCTACTTGAAAGAAATATCTTTGAAGAACAAATGTTTTTCTTTTTTTTTTTTTATTTATTTAATGAATATAAGTTTCCAAAGTACGAATAATGGATTACAATGGCTTCCCCCCCATACCGTCCCTCCCACCCACAACCCTCCCCTTTCCCACTCCCTCTCCCCTTCCATTCACATCAAGATTCATTTTCGATTATCTTAATATACAGAAGATCAGCTTAGTATACATTAAGTAAAGATTTCAACAGTTTGCACCCCCATAGAAACACAAAGTGAAACTGTTTGAGTACTCGTTATAGCATTAAATTTCAATGCACAGCACATTAAGGACAGAGATCCTACATGAGGAGTAAGTGCACAGTGACTCCTGTTGTTGACTTTACCAATTGACACTCCTGTCTATGGCATCAGTAATCTCCCTATGCTCCAGTCATGAGTTTCCAAGGCTATGGAAGCCCTCTGAGTTCTCCGATTCTTATCTTGTTTAGACAAGGTCATAGTCAAAGTGGAGGTTCTCTCCTCCCTTCAGAGAAAGGTACCTCCTTCTTTGAAGACCTGTTCTTTCCACTGAGATCTCACTCACAGAGATCTTTTGCCAGAGTGTCTTGGCTTTCCATGCCTGAAATACTCTCATGGGCTTTTCAGCCAGATCCGAATGCCTTTAGGGCTTATTCTGAGGCCAGAGTGCTATTTAGGACATCTGCCATTCTATGAGTCTGCTGAGTATCTCGCTTCCCATGTTGGATCACTCTCCCCTTTATTTATTCTATCGGTTAGTGTTAGCAGGTACTAGACTTGCTTATGTGCTCCCTTTGACTCTTAGTCCTTTCATTATGATCAATTGTGAACTGAAATTGATCACTTGGACTAGTGAGATGGCATTGGTACATGCCACCTTGATGGGATTGAATTGGAGTACCCTGGTATGTTTCTAACTCTACCATTTGGGGCAAGTCAGCTTGAGCATGTCCCAAATTATACATCTCTTCCCTCTCTTATTCCCACTCTTATGTTTAACAGGGATCACATTTCAGTTAAATTTCAACACTTAAGAATAACTGTGAATTAATTACAGAATTAAACCAGTCATATTAAGTAGAACAGACAAAGAAACTACTAAGAGGGATAATGTATTAAGTTGTTCATTAACAGTCAGCTTATTAGTTTTTAGTTTGTTTTTGTGAAGGTGTTTTTATGTCCTAATTAGGAAACCTTTACAAAACCCCAAATCACTAAGATTTTCTCCTGTTTCCTGTTTCCTGTGGGGTTTTGAGAGGTAGAGTTACAGAGAGAAAGGTCTTCATCCGCTGTTTCACTCCCCAAGTGTCCCCAGTGGCCAGAGATGAGCGGATCCGAAGCCAGGAGCCAAGATCTTCTGGGTCTGCTGGAACCCAAGCACTTGAGCCATCCGCCACTGCTTTCCCAGGCCATGGCAGAGATCTAGATTGGAAGAGGAGCAACTAGGACACGAAACAGTGCCCATATAGGATTCTGGCGTCCCAGGTAGAGGTTTCGCCTACTATGCCACAGTACTGGCCCCACCTGCTAAAAGTTTTATAGTTTTGCTCTTACACCTTCATCTGTGATTGATTTCAAATTCACTTTGAATGTGCAGATAATGTGAGATAAGGGCCAAGATTCCTACTTTTTTACATGAGGCTAACCAATGTTTCATTACCATTTGTTGAGAAGTTTATCTTTTACCGATTGAATTACCATGGTACCCTTGTTGAAATTCAGTTAACTATATATGCATTGATTTATTTCTGGACTCTTTTGTTAATCCACATGTCTGTAGTTACGTATTGTTTTGATTACCTCAACTGTATAGTAAGTCTTGAAATCAGTTCAATAATTATATTGGTCATTTTAAGCAATTTACATTTCTATATAAAATTTAGAATCAAATAATTGATTTCTACCTGCAACCTCCCCCCAAAAAAAATCCTGCTAGGAGATTGACTGGAATTCATTGACTCTGTAGACCTTAAAAAAATCTTGATATCTTAAAAAAAAAAAAAAATTGAGTCTTCTCATCCATTATTGTGGTATATCTCTCATTCTAGTTAAATCTTTCATTTCTCTCAGAAACATCTTTTGTTAAATTTATACCAAACTGTATATTTATACTATTCTAAATGGTATTTTACATTTCAATATATGATGATTCTTTGCTAGTACATAGAAATAGAGTTAAATTTTGTGTACTGATCTTTTATCCTGTACCTTTGCCAAACTCACTTATTACTCCTGGTAGCTTGTTTTTATAGATTCTTTGGGATTTTCTACATGGATAATTAATGCTAATCTGCAAATAGAGATAATTTTACTTCTTAATTTCCAATTTTGAAGCCTCCTATATCTTTGCATTATCTTTTTGATTGCCTGGGACCTCCAATTAAGTATCTAAGTGGTAAAAGAAGACATTCTTATCTCATTCTTTATCTTGAAAAATGTTCATTCTTTTTCTACTAATTATTATGTTAGTTCTAGACCTTTAACAGATGCTCTAATTAAGATGAGGGAAATCCATTCTATTTCTGATTTGATGAGTTTTTTAAATTGTGAACGAATGTTGGATTTTGTTCAAAGTTTTTTGAATCTTAGGGGATCGTTATATGGTTTTCCTTTTTTTATCTGTTATTTTCATGAATTCCACTGATTGTACTCATGGGAAAAAACCCACCTGGTCATTATGTATTATCATTCCTTTGTAATGTGGATTTGGTATGCAAATTTTTAAAAATATGTCTATGTTCATATTGATCTATAATTTTATTTAATTTGAATATTCTTTTATATCAGGTGATACCTAAGTGCATTGGAAAGCTTCCCTTTTTTCCTATAACCATTTTTGGAGAATTTTATGAATATCTTCACAAGCGAGCTTTGATAGTATGTATCTTTCAAGAGATTTCACCATTTCATCTAAGTACTTGGATATGCTGGCATGAATTGTTTCTAGAATTCCCTTATTATCAGTTTAATATTTGTAGAATCTGTAGTGATTTCTCTACTTTATTTCTGACATTGGTTGTTGCAGTGGATTCGTTTCTGAGAGGAGCAGCGTGGTGGGGGCAAGAGGCGCGGAGTCACCACACAGACCCCGGGAGAGTCGGGTGAAAGCAGGATTGAGGCGAGCAGCCTGCAGACTCGTTTATTTCAGTTGACCACGTCTTAATAGCCAAGACCAGCCAATCTGGTCAAGGGGCAGTCTATGCCCAAACCAATCACAGCCTGTTGCCAGGCAGTTTCAAAACCATCCAATCACAGCCTGTTGCCAGGCAGTTTGCAAAGCCATCCAATCATAGCCTGTTGCCAGGAAGTTTCCAAAGCCATCCAATCACAGCCTGTTGCCAGGCAGTTTCCAAAGCCATTCCTGAGTGACTGACGCTCACTTGCCAATGGCCACCTTGGCATGGCCTTCTCATTCCACCACAATTGGTAATTTTTAAAAATATTTTATTTATTTGAGAGGTAGGGTTACAGACAGTGAGAGGAAGAGACAGAGAGAAAGATCTTCGTTCCGTTGGTTCACTCCCCAAATGGGTGCAACGGCCGGAGCTGCACCGATCCGAAGCCAGGAGCCAGGAGCTTCTTCCCGGTCTCCCATCCAGGTGCAGGGACCCAAAGACTTGGGCCATCTTCTTCTGCTTTCCCAAGCCATAACAGAGATCTGGATTGGAAGAGGAACAGCTGGGACTAGAACCGGCGTCCATATGGGAGGATTAATGTACTGCGCCACAGCACCAGCCCCCTCATATTGGTAATTCGTTTCTTTGTTTTAGTCCTGGTCAGACTCTCTACTGATACATCTATTTTATTGATCATTAAAATCAGCTTTGGGGGGGCAGGAGTTGGACTACTAAATGAATAAGACACCTATGTCCCATTTCACAGTATCTAGGTTATAGTCTTGACCCTACTCCTGATTCCAGCTTCCAGTTAATGCAGACCTTGGGAAACAGCAGGTTATGGCTTAAGTGATTTGGTCCCTGCCACTCATGTGGGAGATCCAGATTGAATTCCTGGTTCCTGGCTTCATCCTGACCCAGCCCCAGCTGTTGCGGACATTTGAGGAGTGAACTGGTGGACTGAAGCGCGCTCACTCGCTTGTTCTCTATCTCTCTCTTTCTCTCTCTCTCCCTCTCTCCCTCTCCCCCTCTCTCTCTCTCTCTCTCCCTGTCTCCCCCACCTCCCTCACCGCCCCCCAATCTCTCTGTCAGGCTGTGTGACCTGTTTTGTCTCTTAAGTGTATAAATAAAAAAATTTTAAGGAAAAAGTTCCAGAATCTTTCAGCCTTTGATTTCATTGATTTTCTTTATATTTCAGTTTTGTGTGTTACTGTTTTCTGCTTGTGTCATTTTTATCTTCTAAATTTGGGTTTAATTTGCTCTTCTTGTATCTCTTTTTAAAAATTTAAAAAATTATTTATTTATTTACCTATTTGAGAGGCAGACAGATTTCCCAAGTGCTGGTTCATTTCCCAAATGCCTAGAACAGCTAAGGCTGGGCTGTGCCGAAGCCAGGAGCCTGGAGCTCCATCTGGGTCTCCTACCTGGATGACAGGGACCCAAGTACAGCCATCACTTGCTACCTTCTCAGGTGTATGTTACCAAGAAGGTAGACTAGGCAGTGGAGCCAGGACTTGAACCCACATACTCCAATAAGGGATGCAGGCATCCCAGTGAGCAGCTTAACCACTAAGCTGAATTCTTACCTGCTTTTCTGTTGCTTAGGATTGTAATTAGTTTGAGAACATCCTTCTTTTCTAAGTGTTAATGCCATGAATTTCCTCTGAGCATTTGTCTGTTTAGATACAGAGTTTATAGTTGTTTTTTTTTTTTTTTTTTTTTTGACAGGCAGAGTGGACAGTGAGAGAGACAGACAGAGAGAAAGGTCTTCCTGTGCCATTGGTTCACCCTCCAATGGCCGCCACGGCCAGCGCGCTGCGGCCGGTGCACCGCACTGATCCGATGGCAGGAGCCAGGTACTTATCCTGGTCTCCCATGGGGTGCAGGGCCCAAGCACTTGGGCCATCCTCCACTGCACTCCCTGGCCACAGCAGAGAGCTGGCCTGGAAGAGGGGCAACCGGGACAGAATCCGACGCCCTGACCGGGACTAGAACCCGGTGTGCCGGCGCCACAAGGCGGAGGATTAGCCTAGTAAGCCGCAGCGCCGGCAGTAGTTCTTATATTATTTGTGTCATTTTAGCTATGAACCACAAATTTGGACACTGTATTTGCATTTTTCAGATCAAACATATTCTAATATTTCTTGTGATTTGTTCCTTGGTTCATGTTTAGTTTGGTAATAGATAGATATGTTACAGGTACTATTCTGATACTGCTTCTTGATTGCATAGTTTTTATTATTAAAGTGTAATGATTTTTGAAATTCTGGATGAGCACTTAATTCATTTATATTAACAATTATTACTGACATTTTTGGATTTCAGTCTGTTATCTTTTCTTATTTTTTTTTTTTTTTATTTTTAGACAGGCAGAGTTAGACAGTGAGAGAGAGACAGAGAGAAAGGCCTTCCTTCCGTTGGTTCACCCCCCAAATGGCCGCTATGGCTGGTGCGCTGCGCCGATCCGAAGCCAGGAGCCAGGTGCTCCCTCCTGGTCTCCCATGCGGGTGCAGGGCCCAAGGACTTGGGCCATCCTCCACAGGTGGAGAATTAGCCTAATGAGCCGCGTTGCAGGCCTCAGTCTGTTATCTTAATATTTAGTTTCTATTTGTCCCTTTTGTTTTATATTCATTGCTCTTTGCTCTCTTATTTTTTGAATAATTTTAATATTCAGTCTCTCTCTTCTATGTAATTGATGAAGTTTTACATTGTTTTATTTTTCCTTTCATCAGTGACATAGAATATACTGTATGTATCCTGACTTATTAATGTTTACTTGGCCACTTCCCAGACAATACATTGACTTTAAAACTTTTATC